AAAAAAATTGAAGATGTGTGATGTGATGGAAGTGGCCGATACTTGTTGAAAATCCATACCCCATTCAAGTATCACTTTATTGTGAAATTTTCACTGGACATTTTACATAACCGCAACATGAGTTTTGCTATACAATAGCCTCCTCAAGCTTTCATATACTTTAGTGAGGAAACGGTTGAGGAAGCTATTGTATAACGTCATATGACAATTTAGGTTTTGCACCCATGAATAATTGTTGTCATTATAGAAGCAATGTCGGTAATATACATCATACTGTTATTTACAATGCCGCGAACGAAAATATTGAATCTTTCATACCGATGTCATATTGAACTTAGACTGCTGAATATTGTTAATCAATCCACTGCAGATGAAAAAATTGCTCGAGAGGAGGGCCGTGTTCAGTGTTGTCAGAAGCCAATGTGGCCTTACGGACGGGGTCACCGAACTCTTGGTCAATGGCAGAAATAAGTAGGGTGAGGGGAACTAAAACCCCTCAAGAGCCTTTGCAAAACATCCCTCCGTGGACCTGCCTACCCAAGCTAAGGTGTAAGAAATCGTGCCACAGCTGAATGGCTGCAGGGTGATATGCGGTCACGAACGACTCCCTTGGGAAACTGGGCGAAACCTCATTGTAATCAGCCTACCTCTGGTAATGCGGGGCTCTGCCAGAGGTGACCAACTCTTCCCTTGCTACTCGTGGGAACACACTTGAATGAAACAAACAAAAACAGAAACAACAAAAACAAAAACCGATCCTGAGGGTGGACAGATGTGCCCACCTCAATCTAAGGCGGTGGCTGCGGACAAACAGAAATGTCCACCCCAATCTACTGCTTGGAATGAGGCTGGACATAGCAGATCACCTCTAACAGTAAGGGCACTTTCTGCGGCGGTCGTCAAGAGCTCCGCCTTGAATGAAGGCAAGGAACCGACTGTCCCTGCAGGAAAGCTCCCTCACTTGTGCACCTCCACGGAGGGAACCCTAAGAAGGTTGAAGAAGCCGCGCAACGACAGTAATATCCCTGCACCTTCCAAAACCTTCGCGGAGACCACCGTGAGACACCTCAAGGTTGCCAAAGAGAGTGTGTGTTCGGCGAGTCTTGACCTAGCCAATATAAAGGAGATGTCTCCTAGTGGCCTGTCCAGCTTCCTGGAAAGTACAGGATGAAGGATGACCTTGGAGGACAACTCCTCGGGAGGATGTACAATGGGTCACGTGTGGCCTAAGTGCTGTGAGTCTACACTCACCCTCCCTACTCTACAGATACTAGATACCCCTTTCAATATAAATAAAAAGGTGATTTAACTCAGCTTAATGATTTTAAGGTGGTACAAAGTTCACCAGGTCAGCTAGTCATAACATTAAAATAACTAAAGAAGTGCAATGAAGCTACAATTAGTGGCTGCGAAGAGTCAAGAATAGGTTATTTGGAATAAATTCAAGTTTAGTGTTGCACTGAACGCTCTGAATCTATTTCTATCCAGAACAACAATCTTTGAAGCTGAAAACATTGAAAGCTTGGAAGTTATATCATTTTTGGAATATAATTCAGATATAACACGAACGCCCTGAGGTTACTTTATTATAAATGAAAATAAATCAATATATTATTTTGCACCATTGGTGGCCCTAGTAAGAAAAATGCTCATTACCATCTCGAAACAAACAAGCCTAATAATCTAGTCCTAACTGACACACAAGCCAAAACATCTGATATACGACGCACATGCTTTGCCATAAATAAACACTTCAGAGAAATGTGCCAGAGGAGCTTGTTTTAACTCCAAAAGTGATATCCCATTCTAACGAAGGTAGAGATATATAATGTTCCGTATAATGTTATTCGCAACAAAAATTACTTTTATTACTGTATACATACACTTAAGAGAAATATTCATCGGTCAAAGGTGTCATGGGAGTTTTTGATGTTCGCTACTCAACTTGTCACAAATTTTCGAAGAAGATGAAAGAAGCAGCCACCAAGCGAAAAAAATTGCCATCACCTTAGCAACCTTGCTCAAAGCTTTCTGAAAATTTGTTCAATAAATCAAAGTGTAAACCTTCATAGGTGCAATGCGTGACACTAAAACATTATAAATTATTGAGCACGCACGATATCAGAACGTCCCTTCAACAAGCTTATAAAAATTACATTATAAACACTTACATTCCAGGATGACCCTTTTATAAACTAAATATTATCATGAGGAATGCAGAACTCCTTATCAGCAGGAAAACACATACCTGCTGGTGGTAGAGTAGACACTGAAAGGTTTCCATCTTCAGTAGATCTGCTATTATTGAAGAGTGATTGCCAACGTGAAATAATACTTGTATTATCAAATAATACTTGTATTATCACATAATACGTTAGTGTTTCTCTTCAAAATTTCTCGGACCAACGGATTCTATCTCCATGCATCTTGCTACATTAAACATTGTTTGATTGGAACTTTCTATTACTTCATTTTGTTACGACGTCCCGCATTAGTTTACTGATGAAGTCAGTCGAGTCCTAGACTCACATTTTTTAACTTGAATTTGTTGTCCACTGACAAAGGATTTCTTCGAAATCAGTCTGTCGGTGATCAGTCGATTAAATCTGCATCTGCATCTGCAAGTACTTCCTCTATGAGTATTAGCCGAAGAAATAGTTAATTTCTTGCAGGTATTTGCCAGATACACTGTTTAAAAACGCAATTAACACCAAAACAGTGACTTTTAGAATTATTGTATATTTTTCTGTCTCTGAAAGATAGGCAAATCTGTTTAAGTCTCTTTTTCCGTTAACCAGCTGTCACACCCCTACGATCGACAACACTTAGAAGTCGAAACTTGTGCGAGCTAAGGATTAGCGAGGTCTTATCTTTTAACGTGTGATTTCTAACACGTGCTTCCTAACCTAACAAATACATTAGATCATTTTGATTTCTTTAAGAAAAAAACACAAGCACTACCGGAAAATCCTTAAGGCGCTCTAAGAGCGGTGCTTGTGTGAAAGTAGTGATTCACGTTGGATTTGAATCGCTGGAGATTTAATTCATTTGAAAAACGTTCTCAGGAAGTTTATTCCACATAAACGCAGTTTTCCAGATGATAGAGATCTCAAAAAGTGAAGTTCGAGGTGTAGTGTGTGGAACCTCAAAGCGATGAGCAGTCACAGCCCGTCGCGTATTTCTGATATATACCGCTTTTTGTGGAATGAAATGTGTCAAGTTACTTGAACACTTCCCGTGAAAGTATTATAGAAGAGAGACAAATCCCCAGCCTTTCTTCGATGTTCCAGACTATCAAGGTTGCAAGTGATGTTCGCGTCTCCAATCAGGCGGATGGCACTTTTATGGATGGAATCCAGCAACTCTAGAGTATGCTTAGAGGCAGAACTCCATTCATGGGAACAATACTCCAAAGAAGGTCTGCTCTGAGCTTTATAAAGCATCAAAAATTTGCTGAGGTGTGTACAGTTTTCTGGTTTGGAACAGTGTTCCAAGCTTTTGAGAAGAAGCCTTTGCAATTCCAGCGACATGAGTGTGCCGCGACATATTGGTGTTCATTTTAACCCCCAACAAATTCATCGAAGCAGAAAGCGCAATGGGGATGATTACAGAAAACTCATCCGGCAGAGTGCGCTGAGTGTTTCTCACATTGGTCATGAGCTGTCAAAGTTTCCACCGTTATTTATTGATTTATTTAAAAGTTTCTTATTTAAATTTCTTGCAATTCAAGATGTATTCTACATGGCGTATCGCTCAGTTGAAGGAGGAGTTGCAGATGAGAGGTGCAACCCTAGGAGGGAAGGAAGCTGATCTAGTGGAAAGGTTCATATTTTTGCATATTTGAACAACTCTCTCATTATAAAGACAGTTTTTGCATCCAATTTGCTCCCAAGAAATATATTAATGAAAAAAAAAAACACATATTTTGTGAACATGAACATTATTCTAACCTCAAAAACATGCAAGTTTCAAGGTTCAATTTTGTTTTCAGATTAGAGGCTTATGATAGACATTTTAATTTCGAGAATATCCCTCATAGAGAGACCTGTATAATAAAGAACAGTTTTTTTTGTTCATTAGAATCACCCGAAAGAAGCACAACGACCCATTTCTCTGAATAAAAACGAAAAATCACAAATGTTCCCATATAACCAATGTATCTTTTGATGACAAACACTATGTACAACAAATTGACAGTTTGCTTCCCCATTGTTTGTCCTGACACTGCTATATCCTCTGTCAAATTTTGATATCGAGAACATTTTATAAGAGTTGCAATGCTTTATTGAGCTGGAATAGGTGGGATACATATATCTGCATTACGCTGCTACGGTTTTTTATCAAGATAAAAGTGCCGGACTCCAGAAGAAAAATAAGTACAGTACCACGGACAGAAATCAGCGAGAAAGGAATGTTTTTTTTTGTTAACTTCTGCTTGGATATGTTACTAGGAGAAAGAACAATAAAATGAGTGTCACGTAATTTTTTTTTAGATTATTTAATAAGGTAGAAACTACAAAAACTGCACTGATAAGAGTATCTTATGGTGGTAAATTGAAATTTAAATATTTGTATTGAAATACCCATTTGGGTGGATTACGACTTTATTGCTTATATCTGCGAGGACGAAGGTTATATCTCGAAGTTTCAGCAACGTTCGGTACATCAGGTACCATTCAACCGCGGCCGTGAAAGCCTATGTTCTTATATAATTGGGCGTGGCTTTAATAATTGTTTGTGCCTCCTCGTGGAGCAGTGAGACCTTGACGTTGGTGAGGAGGCTTAGTACCCAAAATGATCCTGCGAGCGATGCCAGTGAGAGTGTAAACTCCTGGTAGGGCCACCCATGCTGGTAAGATCAAAGAGGATTGGTGAAGCTAAGGACTGCTCAAATGAGGAATAAACCTCTAGAAAAATTCGCAATCCCAAAGTATCCTGCCTTCACATGCGGGGCTCTGTGGAGGTTGATAGATATTTCCCTAGCTACTCGTGGGAACAAAATGAATTCTGACGAAATAATTAATGAGGAGCTTCCTATCTCCGAAAACCTAGGAACTACTGGTGTAAACTCTACCCAAGAGAAAATACCAAACATGAGTCAGGAGACGACGGGTCCTATCCCTCGGTTCCTGATCATGAGAAGGAAGAATGGCGACTTCACAAGAGTCAGTCCATTCCTAATCCATAGAGTAATGTATGGACTTATAGGCACAACTAATGACTTGAAGAAAGTAAAGGACGGTTTGCTCATAGAGACAAAAACTAGAGCCCAAGCAGAGAGACTGCTTTCAATTGAAAAATTCTCTGAGTTTGAGGTTGAGGTTGTTCCGCATAAAACCCTCAACAAAAGTAAAGGTGTAGTATTTTGTAAAGACTTTCTCAACTGCACAATTGAAGAAATAGAAGAAGAACTTAAATCTCAAGGGGTAACCAAAGTAACCCGTATGAAACAAAAGAAAGGACATGAAACAGTTGATTCACCAAATCATATTTTAGAATTCAACTCAACTAAATTACCCACTAATATACATGCCGCTCTCTACAACTTAAGAGTTCGTCCGTATTTCCCAGCACCAATGAGATGCTTCAACTGCCAACGATTTGGACACATATCCTCACGGTTCGAAACAGAGAAAACCTGCATTTGTGGAAAAAAAGAACACGAAGGAGAATGTGTAGAACCTATTATGTGCGTGAACTGCAAAGGAAATCATTTATCAAATTCGAAGAACTACCCTGAACTAACACGGGAAAAAGAAATTCAAAAAATTAAGACAATAGAGCGAATCCCTTATTTTGAAGCAAAGAAAAAAGTGACTCCAAGAACACCAAAAAATAATGTATCTTATGCACAGGCAGAACTTGAAATATTTTTTGTTACTTAACCGCTCAGGGCATAAGTCATGCTATTCAATCAATAAAGCAATATCACTCATGGCCTTTTGTGAAAACCTAATTTCCTGGAACTGTAATGGATGTAAACTTCATTATCCTGAGCTAAAGAAAATAATTGTAGAGAGAAATCCATATTGTATATGCTTGCAGGAAACCCACCTCAAATCTCAAGAGGATTTTCAAATGAGAGGATACGTTAGCTATAGAAAAGATGGTATACCAAATCTCAGAGCAAGAGGAGGAGTAGTTATATTAATCCGAAACAATATTCCCGGTAACACAATCCAAGTACAGTCAGATCTTGAGGTAGTTGCCGCTCACATAGACTTTCCATTCAGCTTGATAATCTGTAGTATCTACCTATCCAACAACAACTGGAACATAAATGATCTTAAAACAATAGCCAACCAACTCCCAGAACCCTACTTGATTGTGGGGGACTTTAATGCCCATAACCCACTCTGGGGATCTGAAAAACTTGACATTCGTGGAAGGAAAGTTGAAGAGTTTATTGATGATCTGAACCTCACACTTCTGAATAGTGGCGAAGGAACTTTTCTAAATCTGAGATCTCGCTCCTTATCAGCCATAGATCTTGCCCTATGCTCATCAACTCTTGCTCCTTTCTTCAGATGGTACTGCCTTGGTGATAATATGACGGATCCTATAAGTATAGAGTGTCCCAGTAAAACCGTCTCATCAGTTTCGTCAAAACGTTGGATTTTGAATAAAGCTAACTGGGATTTATACAGAGCAGAATTGAACAATTTGAGGGAAGTTAACCTCGATAATATAGATGACGCGGTCGAAGAAATCAGCACTGCTATTCTGAATGCAGCCTAAAGAACAATCCCTCAGTCATCTGGTAGGAATCGAACCAGGAAAGTTCCTTGGTGGAATGAAGAAATAGCTATCCTCACAGCCGATAAAACACATGCTTTGAATATTTTTAAGCGACACCCTACCGAGGAAAACATGATAGCCTTCAAACGCGCTAGAGCCAAAGCAAGACGCACTATACGAGAAAGTAAAAGGCGATCCTGGGAAAAATATGTATCCTCCTTAACTGCGGACATCCCTACTTCAGAGATATGGAACAAAATTCGCGCCATAATGGGTAAAAAGTTTACAAATGTATCTCAAGTACTTGAAGCTAATGGCCAACTCATCACTGATCCTCAGGAAATCAACGAAAGAATTGTAGAACATTTTGCTGCAATAAGCAGCACCCCAAATCTAGATCCAGATCTGCAGACAATAAAAACAACAGCAGAAAGACACAGATACTTTGTCGGGGGAGAAACCCTAGAATATAACACTTCTTTCACTTTTCTCGAGTTTGAATCAGCCTTGAGAAATACCAAAACCTCTGCGCCTGGATCCGACGGATTCATGTATGATTTCATGAAACAACTTTCAATAGAATCCAAGTATATACTTCTCAATCTTTTCAACGAAATATGGCAAACCAGTAAGTATCCTGAAAAATGGAGAGAGGCGATTATAATTCCAGTTCTTAAAAATGGTAAAGACCCGAAACATATTCACAGCTATCGGCCTATCTCACTCACAAGCTGTCTGAGTAAAGTCTTGGAGAAAATGGTGAGTTATAGACTACGTTGGTATCTGGAATCAAATAAACTCTTATCCAACGCACAAGTAGGATTCCGAAATCATAGATCTTCTATCGACCAAGTGTTCTTACTTGAGAGTAGCATCCAAAACAGCTTTGCCAATAAATCCCACGTTACTGCCATATTTTTCGACCTCTAGAAAGCCTTTGATACAACATGGCGCTACTCAATTCTAGAACAGTTAGATAAATGGAACTTGAAAGGGAATATGCTCAAGTTCATTCAAAATTTTCTGAAACACAGATCATTTCAAACTCGACATAAAGATCTTTTATCCAAAAAATATGTGCTAGAAAACGGGGTTCCACAAGGTTCCACTCTGAGCGTCCTCCTTTTTGCAATAGCTATAAACCCCCTGCTTGATAATATCAACGAAGAAATAGGACGAAGCTTATATGTTGATGATCTGACAATATTTTACTCAGCTCCATCAATGGAAGATACTGTTACTACCTTACAAATAACATTAGACCAACTCTCGAAACAGGCAAAGCTACTAGGAATGAGGTTTTCAAAATCCAAAATACACTATGTCCACTTCTGCAGACTGAGGAAACCCCACCAAGAACCTAGACTTGAATTAGATGGTAAACTTCTAGAATGTACAAGATTCTTGGGTCTCATCTTCGATAAAAAATTAACATGGGCTCCACATATAAGCGACCTGACCCTAAGATGTAAAAAAGTACCTACTCAAAGCTCTAGCTCATATTCGTTGGGGAAGTGATAGGGAGGTGCTCCTTAAAATTTATAAATCTATTATCCTTTCGAAAATAGACTATGGCTGCATGATATATAGCTCAGCACGGAAATCCAGATTGAAAAAACTGGACTCGATACAGGGTACAGCATTGAGACTGGCAGTGGGTGTTTTTAGAACCAGCCCCTATTCATCACTTTCGGCTGAAACAGGAATTCCTCCTTTGAAATATAGAAGACAGCGACTCCTTTCGAATTATGCTGTTAAAATTTTAACGCAGCCTAATCACCCTAATTACCCAACATTCAATGAAGACACTAATGACGTTTACGAAAACCGACCCACGATAACAAGACCAGCTCAAATAAGGTTCAAAGAAATACTGAAGTTCACTCAGTATGCAGTTCCAGCCATTTATATTTATAACCCAGGAGAAATTTCTCCTTGGGAATTGGAAAAAGTGAGAGTGAATCTTAAACTCAGCCATACTGCAAAAGATGGTAATGAAGATATCTTGAGGGCAGAATTCAACAAACTCCTCACAATTTACTCTGGATTCATAGTTATTTACACCGATGGATCAAAAACCCAAGAAGGTACTGGATGTGCGTTCACTAGTTAAGGTTCGACTCACAGTTGGAGATTACCAGCACAAACAAGTATTTTCACAGCCGAATTATACGCTATCCTACAAGCAACCTATTTCTGTTAATTTCATAATGAAATGAAATTTCTCATTTGCACGGACTCCTTAAGCTCACTACTCGCACTAGAAAATTCATTCAATAAAGATCCACTAGTACAGACCATATTGGCATCCATACACTTGACGAATAGGAATGGAAAACACATCGAATTTTCATGGACTCCTAGTCACCAAGGAATCTCGGGTAATTAATTAGCAGATCAGGCAGCCAAACGAGCTACCGAAATACCTGATGTTTGTGATAATATTCCTATTCGACCGGAAGACGTGAAATATTATTTTAAACAACAGATTATGGATTTATGGCAAACTGAATGGGAGGAAACAGATGC